GCTCACTAATGCCGTCAGCACGTGATGCCCCCTTTGCCAGCCTCCCACGCCCCCTTAGTGCTGCTCACACTCCAGTGATGCTGGAAACGGGCACAAATCAGCTCAGCACCCTGATTTCGGAGGACCGAGGACCACCAGGGATATGGGCAGTGGGGTCCACTGGGTCAGAGCCCAGGACTGGGAATCAGGACTCCTGAGTTCTCTTCCCAGCTGTGCCGCCGACCCGCTGGGCAAGTGTGGGTGTGTCTCAGCCAGGCCTGGTTTCCAGGGGCATCCACAACCCTCACTGAAGTCAGTGGGAGCAAGGGGCGCTCAGGGCGGCTGAAGATCAGGCCCACGCCGCCCCATGCCTCAGTTTCCCCCTCTGTGGCATGGAGATATTGATACACACTCGAGAGGGGCAGAACTGGTTCATTCCTCTCCCTCCTCCCCGGTCTGTCCTGGCCCAAGCTTTGCCTGAGGGTGCCTGTGGAAGAGCTGCAGCGGGGCACCAGCAGGCAGGAGGAGACTGGCAAAGCGAGCAAAGCGAGCGGGGTCCCCGCTGGGCAATCAGAAGGAGGCGAGGGGAAGACCCACTGGCATTGGCCCTTCCCTAGATGGTCTCCTTTAAGGAGACCATTGCTGTGGCATCCAGCCACCTGTACCCGCCACTGGTCCAAAGCCCATCTTGGGCTGGTTGGGACCACGGGCTCCAGCCAGCTGCCAGCGCTTTGGTGGTGGCCTGGAAGAAATGAGTTTGCTGGGTCTCAGCCTACTGCCCACTAGAGAGGCCCCCCACCCCCGGTCACAAAGGGCTGGCACTCACGGGCACAGACGGCGATGGCGGTGGAGGCTGGACGGCCCCTCTCGCTCCGAGCCGGGCTGGGCAGAGCCTGGCTTCCCAGACATTTCCTGCCCGCGGCTAGCGCTGGGAGGCTCAGCAACCCACTGCACATGGGAAGAGGCCCATGCACCCCACAGGACGGGCTCTCTGGCTCAAGCCCATTCCCCAGCGACCACAGGCCAACCCCCATGTAAGCCCCTTCGGAGACCCCCCGAACTCTCTCTGGCTCCAGGGGGTTTGGCCTAGAGCAGAGACCGGCAGCCCTCCCCGCTTGCCAGCCATGGTCCCCGCTGCGGGCTGCCCCTTTCCAGCACAACGCAAGCAGCGGCCAGACCCTGCCGTGCAAGGCCAGAAGGGAAGTGGCTGGCGGGGCACTGCCCATATAGCTCTGTGGCTAGAGGGGGTCACCCGCAATACCTTCCCACCTGCCACGCAGGATGGGTGTGACGCCTTCTCGGCCCCTGTCCTGCCCACTGAGGAGGCGGATCCATCTGTCCACGTCGGTACAGGGCTCTGGGAGAGCCGTGAATTATTGATATTCTGCGGAAAAGGACCTAGGGGTGACAGTGGACGAGAAGCTGGATATGAGCCAGCAGGGTGCCCTTGTTGCCAAGAAGGCCAATGGCATTTTGGGCTGTATAAGTAGGGGCATTGCCAGCAGATCGAGGGACGTGATCGTCCCCCTCTATTCGACATTGGTGAGGCCTCATCTGGAGTACTGTGTCCAGTTTTAGGCCCCACACTACAAGAAGGATGTGGATAAATTGGAGAGAGTCCAGCGAAGGGCAACAAAAATGATTAGGGGTCTGGAACACATGAGTTATGAGGAGAGGCTGAGGGAACTGGGATTGTTTAGTCTGCAGAAGAGAAGAATGAGGGGGGATTTGATAGCTGCTTTCAACTACCTGAGAGGTGGTTCCAGAGAGGATGGTTCTAGACTATTCTCAGTGGTGGAAGAGGACAGGACAAGGAGTAATGGTCTCAAGTTGCAGTGGGGGAGGTTTAGGTTGGATATTAGGAAAAACTTTTTCACTAGGAGGGTGGTGAAACACTGGAATGCGTTGCCTAGGGAGGTGGTGGAATCTCCTTCCTTAGAAGTTTTTGAGGTCAGGCTTGACAAAGCCCTGGCTGGGATGATTTAATTGGGGATGGGTCCTGCTTTAGAGCAGGGGGTTGGACTAGATGACCTCCTGAGGTCCCTTCCAGCCCTGATATTCTATGATTCTATGATTCGATATTAATAAGGAACAGGACGGATTGTTTTTCAACTTGCATTTTCCCCGCACCCTTGGCGGGGCAGGGGGGGACTAAGGGAGGGGTCCCTTTAGCCGCCCTGCCTGCGAGCCATATGGGAAGAGTTCTGGAACGCAGACTCCCAGCGGGGCCCGGAGAACAGAAGAAGCCGGGTGAGGAATTCTGGTTCTTCATATTTATTGTAGCTGGGAGAGACCTGGGATTTAACAGAGCAGCAAGGCTGCCACCGGCTGGTCATGGCAAAAGTGGCACCTGCCAGAAAGTCGCTGGGCAGGATGTTTGTCTTTCTGCCACCTGTGGCCCGGTTGGAAGTGGCCCAGGTTTGGGGCGTGGGAGTGACTGGCCCGGGAATCCCATTAGGGGAGGGACTAGCTGAGAAATGATCCCCTGGAGAGAGGGAAAGGGAGGAAACTAGGCAGCAAAGAGCGAGAGAGAAACGGGCCCAGCTGACTCGACCTCAGAGCAGAGAAGAACTCCATGGCCAAGAACGTATTTGACGCTGGCTCTCGGACGGGACGGGGAGCTCGGACGGGTACAGAGCAGCCCATGCACTGGGCTCTGGACTGTGCTCTGTCCCAGGGACAGAGTTCGCTCACCCCATGGGTCTCCCCACAAGAGCGGACTTAGCCCTCCCACCCCCGTCCGCAAACACTGGCCGATCCCAACCGGCGGCCCCCTGCTTGGAACCTCACTGGCTCACAGTGCCGCGATCACAGCAAGAAGGGCCCTTCCCCTGTCCTTGGACCCACCTGCCTCCGGGGACTTTAGGGGGGATATTCTTGATGCCCACTTTCCCATTTTGTGGGTGCAAACAGCACCCACATGTCTGCTCCCCCCAAATAAATTGCAGGCATCAGACCTGACTCTTTGCACCAGCAGCCACACAGCGGGTTAACCGTGCCAGTCTGTGCCCACAGTTCAGATTCTGGGCTGCCGCCTGGCAAACATGACCAGTAGCTACAATGCAGGGTCGAGGTGGGGTGGGGGGGAGAGGGACTGGGAGAACAGACGTTCGTTGCCCTTTGCTCAATGATTTAACTGCCCGATCCCCAGAGCTGGAGGACAAGGGGTCCAGAGCTGTGTTTGCAGACGAATTGTACATGGGGATACGGGCGAGCAAACAATCATGCAAACCCCAGAAAAACATCCTCCCCCTCTCTCCCCCAGGTTCCAACCTGAGCAAATCCAGACCCAGAGCCAGGCGCGGAGCTGAGCTGGCTAAATAAACCACAGGGAAATCAACCACAAAAGCCCTTTCAATCCGCACAGCTGCTGTCATTGTCCTGGCAATTGCATCAATCAGAGATAAACATATTCAAAAATCCCTGCCATGGTAAACACTGGGGAGGGCATTGGGGGGGGGGGGCCTCGGGAATGTGTTTGTCAAGTTGCACTTTGCTCACTGGTTTAAGTGTGCCATTGCCAGGTGGGGGGAAGAGCGCCTGGCGATACAGGGTCCTCTCCATTGCTGCCCTACCACCAGGGCAGTCATTTGCCCCAGGGCACAGTGGGCATGACATGCTGCCCACTCAGGATGGTCATGCCCAGCCCCTGCTGTGCCCTGCGGTTGGTGACTCCAGGGCCCTGCGAAATTGGGCCCAGGGAACCAGAGCAAGGGACAGCACAAACCCCGGCCCCTCTGGGGAGCCCTTACCCATCAGGGGAACAAAATTAGGTGGGGGGGGAGGGAGGGTTAAAAGCGATCATAGGTGTTGGGTCAAATCCTCAGCGGGTGTAAATTGGCCCCAGCGGGTGTAAATTGGCCCAGCGCCATCGAATTCAGTGATGCCATTGTCCAGCAGCTCAGGAGCGGGCCCGTCGCTCCTGCGGGTTTCGCAAAGAGGTGATTTCTCAACCAGGCAGAGCGAGGGGGCAGTTCCCAGAAGGAGACCCATGGCCACCCTGCTCCCGCCCCTTCCCTGCTCTCCCAGCCCCAGGGCTGATGGGCTGGCTAACGGGACTGCTATAAAGAGCCAGCCCCTGACACACACAGGACAGTGTTTCCCGGCGGCGAGGAGCAGCCAGAGACAAGGCTCAGAGAGGCGGAATCGCAATCAGGGAAAGGTAGATACGGGCTCGGGGCTTTTCCCAGGCCTGGCCCCGGGATAGTGCGAAGTACATAGCTATTGATTCCGGCTGGGAGAGTTTTAACTGCAGAGCTACGCAGCATGCTGAGGGGGGGAGGGCCCTGGCGGAGGGAGTCGGGGCACACCCCAGCCAGGATAATATTCAGGAGGCCCTGATTCCCAGCAAGGATCAATGTTAGGTTAGGGTTAGGGGGACGATCTGGTCCCCCGTGTAAGGTTAGAACCAGTTGCCCTCTGCCCCCAGGGGCCATTCTGGGAATAGGCCAAGCAAAGAGGTGCCCTGGCCATGCCCCTTTTCCCATGTAATGTCCCCAGGTTCTGGGGCTGGGAAAGGGTGGCCTAGAGCCTGTGTGTCCCCCAGGGGTTCCCTTACTCTAAGGGAAACCCCAGGTGGCCAACCAAGGGAGCTTCGCAGCTGCTTTGCCGAGCCGGAGCAGGGCCCAAATCTGGCCCCATGAGGGATCTGCCAGCAAGGATCTCCCCTCTCCCCTCCAGCAGAGCGTCCTCCCGGCTGGGGGAGGAGGGGAACCTCAGCAGTGGGCCTTGGGCAGAGATTAAAAAGGTGAGACTCTGAATATGGTTGGGAGCCCAGGGCTGGAACAGCAGGGGGCAGAGGGTGAGGATGGAGGGGCATCGGCAGGATTGGTGGGGGGGTGGGGGGTAGGGGAGGATCCTAGGGCAGTGGAGCACGATTGAGGAGCCCTGTGCAGGCAGAGGGAGTAGGGAGTTTGCTCAGCACCTGCCTGACTCTAGCCTCCCAGCTCAGCCTCTCCGCTTCCCAGGTCCCTTTACCGCCGACTAGCTGTGATGGCCCAGTGTGTGTTTTTCCTTGCAGGATGGGCCGTTTGGGGATCGCCCTGTTGGCTGCACTCATGTCCTCCCTTCCCTGCTGGCTGGGCGCCCCCTGCCCACCTGTGCCCACCTCCAGCAACATCACACAATTTGTCTGCACCTCCCCGTCCCTCAGCAGCTTCCCAACCGGCTTCCCCGAGGAGACGCTGATGATCTCTGTGGAGTTCACCAACCTCTCCAGCATCGGCCCAGACGCCCTGCAGAAGCTCCCCAACCTCCGAGAGCTGCATCTCTCCAACAATCAGCTGAGGAGCCTCCCCGGCAGCCTCTTCCGGGATCTGCCAGCGCTGCGGGTCTTGGATCTCACCAACAACCTCCTGGAAGGCCTGCCCCCAGAGATCGTGGACTCCCATAGCCCTCTGCAGCACCTGGTTCTGAATGGGAACAGGCTGGGGGCCTTGGAGCCAGCGTGGTTCCAGACACTGCGGGAGCTGGAGTGGTTAGATGTGTCCAATAACCGGCTGCAGGCTCTGCCTCCAAATTGCTTCCAGAATCTGAGCAGCCTGAAAAGCCTTGACCTGTCCCATAACCACCTGGGCAGGCTGGCCCCGGAGCTGCTGGCCGGCCTGCCCAGCCTGGAGAGGTTAAACCTGGAAGGCAACCAGCTCCACTCCATTGTCGAGCACACCTTCGACCTGGTGCCACACCTTCGGTACCTCTTCCTCCAGCACAACAACCTGAGCTCGCTGCCCGCACAGCTCTTCGGCAAGCTGGGCCAGCTGGCCCTCCTGGATCTCTCCAACAACACCCTGACCTCGCTGGCCCCCTGCTTCTCAGAGCAGAACCTGACGCTGGAGCTGGATCTGTCCAGGAACCCGTGGGCGTGTGACTGCACCATGCTCGCCTTCATGCGGTGGGTGGCGGGCCGCTCGGTCGGCCTGTACACCCTCCAGCACACCCTCTGCGGGACCCCCGAGAACCTCAAGGGCCGGACGGTGGCAGCCGCGGCCAAGGACGCGCTCGTTGCTTCCTGCTCGGCTGCACCCACAGAGCGCCCGAGCCCCTGCAGCCTCCCTCGGGGCCACGCTTCCCCAGCGGAGCGTGGCTGGCCCAGGTGGCAGCACCCAGCTCCAAGTGGGCAGCCTGCCAGCTAGACGTGTTGAAAGCTGTGGGCACTCCCAGCTTCAACTCCCCCCCCTGCCACCAGCCACTGGGTCCCCATGGCATGATGATGATGATGATGTTGGTGCCTTCCTTACCAGGGAATCCCAGCAGGGCCCACCACCTTTCCCATAGGACTGGCCTTTCCAGATCAGGCCTTTCCCCATTTGCCGCAGCCAGCTCACCCCCCACAGGTCACTGATCAAAGACCTGCCCAGCTGCAGCAAGAAGGACCATGGCCGCAGGAGGAGAACACCCCCCCACACACCCACACACACTCCTCCGTGCCCTCCTCCCTGACCCCTTCAGCCCCTCATCCTTACAATGCCTCAGAGATAGGGGCTACCATGCGCCTCCCCCCAGCCAGCTCTCTCACGCAGCCACACGCTCGGGTGGGATGGTCTCCACTCAGCACCCAACAGATTCCCTCTTCCCCCTCCAGGAAACCCCTCCCCAGCAAAAAGCCCAGACATCTCTTAGGATACTGTCGTCCACCTGGAATTTGTCCTTATTCAGGCCCCAGTTTCCGAGCTTGGCACCCAAATCCCACGCCCAGCTCTGCAATCTGGCACTGAGTATCCTTGGAGGCACCCAGGAGCCTAAACTGTGGGGGTTGGGGGGCTCTGGAAAGTTGGTTTTATAGGAAACAGCATGGGCTGGAGTTTAGCTCTGCAAGGGGTTGGCTTGGATCAGGGTCCCTGTCCTTGGGTAAGGTCCCCACCCCATCCCAAACATCCCACCGTTCTGCAATCAGCAACACATACACATAGCTTCCTTCTGAGCTGGCTATGGCCAGGGTTTCCCTTTCCTGCCCTTCCCCTTGGCCGGCCTCTTCAGAAAGAGATCCTTTCCGCCAGGTGCAATCTAATAGGACTGACCTGATCTGGCTATCAAGAGGAGTCAGCTCACCTCAGCCACATGCCTTTGATGCATCTCCTTGTAGAAGCAAAGGCAAGCAGTTGCAGGCTGGATAGATGCTCCCCCTACAAGGTCCAAGAACATGGGTCCCCCATCCCAGGCCTCTGTTATCCCCTAAAAGATCTTAGGACCGGGCATCCCATCCTGGTCCCAAAGATCAGAGAAGTTTGGCATTGAAAGGAAAGCATAGCTCTCTAGAGAGAGAAATGTAAGCCATGACTAAATCCAGCTTCTCTGGTCAATGTCACCCCGTCCCTGTGAATGTTCTGGCCCTCATGATATGTTGATTGCAGCCGTTGTGTTTTTTTAATTGGAAACAAAACACTGAATGTAACACGTTAACGTCTCACTGGCAAATTTATGGCGGAACTAGGGTCCTAAGGAAGGTTTAAATTAAACTGAATTGTTTAAAGCTGCTGCACAATTTGTCCTGATTTATCATGCCAATAAAAACCGGGAGTGAGTGGTGCCTCTGGACCCCAGAGTGGGTGGCTGGGCTTTTGTTCTATAAAGAGAGGTTGCTGGTTGTTGGCGTAACTTGAAAATAATCAAGGTGAACACGATGGACACTAAGGGGTCCCTGATTCGATGGGGGAAGGGAGAGGAGGCCAAGGGCTGATGCGGGTGAAGTTCAACTAGTGGCCTTGGAAAGCCCTCCAAAAGTCTGGATCCTTCTCAGAACTTTAACCGTCTGCAAACTCAGGCTGGGGGCCTCCTAGAAGCCGGTTTGTTCTTCAGATGATCCTGAGATGCAACTTCAGCACCTGCATCTGGACCCCCAGCTTCCCCAGAGTTCAGGGGTCTTGACTCAAGGGGATCAGTTCAGCCCTTTCCAAAGAGATGGACCCAGTGGCCAAGGTCAGCTCCAGATCTCCACTTACTTGCCAAAAGGGAGTCAGAACTCCTGGGTTCTGTTCCTGGTTCTCTGCCCCAGGCTCCAGGGCCGGTGGCTGGCTTGCTGTAAGATGAGGGGTGATAATGTCTGTGCATGTGTATAAACACTCAGAAATCTACAGCTGCATAATGCCAAGTCGATATCTCTTCTTATTGCCACGAGTGACAGGCTTTGGGGCAGGTTTCCTCCCACGATCCCACAGTGCGTGGCCCCCTTTCCAAACTAGAGATCAGTAATAGGTGCTGTGGGGGCAGAGAAAAAGGGGGAGCAAATGAGAGTGAAAAGCGTTTGCCGTTGGCCCAGTCCCACCTACAGTTCACAGTGCAGCATCCGTGCAGGGGCCACCGGCCGTGCAGCAGCCAGCCCGCGAGGGGCTTCCAAGCCGGTGGCACGTCACAGAACAACAGGGCAGCACATTCCAATGGGCCCGTAGCTGGGCACCTGTGCCACTGGGGAGTGGGGGAGGGTAGAGATCGTGGGGCCTGATTCTCTCTCACTTACACCACTTGTACACCCCAGTGACTCCACCGGCTTCAGGGAGGTTGCAAAAGGCAAATCAGGGCCAATGGCTGGACCAAGCTCCACCCCTGCTTGAGCTCGTCCATGGAAAGAGATGCTGGTGCCGGGCACCCTAGCATCATAGGGAAGCTAATGGGAGTTGAGGGCATTCAGTCCCTCGTAGGATCAGGCCCCAGACGCACTAGTGCTGTTATTATTACTGGCAAACCAGCCCTTTCCCTAACCCAGCCGGCCAGTGAAACACACGTTCACGGAGTCCCCAGCAATGCCCCCGAGCCCAGAAATGTCCACACCATTTCCACTGCACGTAAGAGAAACTGAAGTCCCAGCACCAGGCAGCCACCCCCGGCTAGCCCCAGGTGCTGGTTTACTCTGTCCCTGGGCCGTCAGGGCATCCGGGTGACACGCCTGCAGGGTCTGGCAGGGGCTAGCGCACAGGGAGCTGGCCTTCTGTTGTTCTTTCCACCTCCACCTGGCTTCTGTTGGGAACAGAGCGGAAATCAGCCAGAGTGGCCGCAGGAGCCTCTCAGAACAGGAGCGGGTGTCTGGGGCTACAGCGAGACGGCCCAAAGCACACAGGAGCAGACCCTCCTCGCTCCATTGAAGGGGATGCCCCAGGGGGCCTGACCCAAAGCCCACTGAAATCAGTGGAAAGACTCGGGTTGATTCAGTGGGTCTTGGATCAGGCCTCTCATCAGGCCATACACAGTCTCCTAGAGCAGTGACTGCCCCGTCTCTGCCCCGGGAGCAGCATGTCCCCGCTAGAGCGTGGCCCTGCTCGGATCTTAGGCCCTGCGTCAAAGCTGTCCCAGGTCAGTTACACCCACAAGCCCGTCAGCACAATGAGGAATGAGGCGTGGACGGGGGACCTCTTAGATCATCCACCTGTGGGGCAGGAGGGCAGGACTGACCCCGCTTTTCCGAGCTTTGGGCCAGTCCAGTTTTCAGTGGCTCAAGCAGGGGGGCTTCTATCGCCAGCACAGAGCTCCCTGCTGCAGGGGGTGCTGGGATACCAGCAGAGCTCCAAACTGTCCTGCGGTGGGTCCAACTCCTCCTTCGTCTCCCCTGCGATACAGCTGTCCCATCTCCTGCCCCCCTCCCCCGCTGGTATCGGCCCTAGGCACCTTCCCTGCTGCATCTGGGAAGCTGCATTTCAGGGCCTTGTAGCGGAAGTCATTGACCGAGGGCCCACCAGTGTCAGCAGCAGCACCATGGGGCCCTGGGACGCAGGCTTAATGTCTAGATGTCAAATATGCCTTGGATATCTGTTGGTTATAATGACAGCTGTAGCTCACGAAAGCTCATGCTCAAATAAATTGGTTAGTCTCTAAGGTGCCACAAGTACTCCTTTTCTTGTTGGTTATAAGTTACTTCTCTGCTCCTTTTAATCAGCAGACTGTCCCCTCTCCAGGCAACTAATCACCCCCATGCATATTCCAAACTGTTAGCTTCTTCTGACAGCTACAGACAATGGGATCTATACGCCCATCTCAGCATGGGAGACATCTTGTCTGGAGAGCAGAACGAAGCTGAAGTTGACGTAGGCGAAAGGAAAACTTCAATCCTTGCCCAAGGAGTCTTTCCCAGCTAAAAGAAAAGGAGTACTTGTGGCACCTTAGAGACTAACCAATTTATTTGAGCATGAGCTTTCGTGAGCTACAGCTCACTTCATCAGATGTTTACCGTGGAAACTGCAGCAGACTTTATATACACACAGAGAATATGAAACAATACCTCCTCCCACCCCACTGTCCTGCTGGTAATAGCTTATCTAAAGTGATCAACAGGTGGGCCATTTCCAGCACAAATCCAGGTTTTCTCACCCTCCACCCCCCCACACAAATTCACTCTCCTGCTGGTGCTAGCCCATCCAAAGTGACAACTCTTTACATAATCAAGTCGGGCTATTTCCTGCATAGATCAAGGTTTTCTCACATCCCCCCCACCCCCATACACACACAAACTCACTCTCCTGCTGGTAATAGCTCATCTAAACTGACCTCTCTCCAGGTTTAAATCCAAGTTAAACCAGAACATCTGGGGGGGGGGGGGGTAGGAAAAAACAAGAGGAAACAGGCTACCTTGCATAATGACTTAGCCACTCCCAGTCTCTATTTAAGCCTAAATTAATAGTATCCAATTTGCAAATGAATTCCAATTCAGCAGTTTCTCGCTGGAGTCTGGATTTGAAGTTTTTTTGTTTTAAGATAGCGACCTTCATGTCTGTGATTGCGTGACCAGAGAGATTGAAGTGTTCTCCGACTGGTTTATGAATGTTATAATTCTTGACATCTGATTTGTGTCCATTTATTCTTTTACGTAGAGACTGTCCAGTTTGACCAATGTACATGGCAGAGGGGCATTGCTGGCACATGATGGCATATATCACATTGGTGGATGTGCAGGTGAACGAGCCTCTGATAGTGTGGCTGATGTTATTAGGCCCTGTGATGGTGTCCCCTGAATAGATATGTGGGCACAATTGGCAACGGGCTTTGTTGCAAGGATAAGCTAAGACTCCATAACTGATCTGTGGACAAAACTCCCATCACTCCTGGTCTAGCTAAAGAGAACTGCTACCAGGTGACAGACAAGAAAAACTAACTGCCTGTTTTCCTATGCAAAATGGCCATTGTGTCCCTGGAAATTACATTACGTTTCACAAAGGGAGTGGAGGCATTATAAATCACATAAGCTGTTTAAGGAATAATTTACTGCAGGACCCAGAAAAATCAAAGGCTCCAGAGACCAAACTTCCTGATACCCCAGAAGAACCCAAAGCCACCAGCTTTCCCCCCGACTGTGAAGCTGTACATGCCTCTGAAATCCAAGGGAGAGTCTTTCCATATGTGAATATCCTTCCAAGTAAGGTCTCTTGAATTGTAAGCCCTAAAGAATGAAATGCTTAGATGCAATCAAAGAAGGGGCAAACTATGCCGAGTGAATTTAGAGGGACTAGAAGGATTTTTGTTTGTAGAACTGCAGAAGCAATAGGAACGGTCTGGCACAAGAAGGAAACACAACACTGAAGGACACAAGCACTAACCAGGGTGTATCTTTGAAATATTAAAAGAATTTGCTTAAAGAGAGGGGAAATGCCAATTGGTAGTGGGGCTAAAAGAGAAACAAATGGATAGAACATATGAACCCGCAGGAAAAGGATCAAAGTCATGTGTTATACAACAACGCCGTCTATTGGCTAGCGATGGAAGCGGCAGAGAAGCTGTTTGGCAAGTGTCTAATACGAATCGGTTCTGAAACCAGCATATAAACCAACAGGACACCGTCTGGGACCCCTGAGTTGACTGAATCCACAAATAAGCTGCAGAGTCCAGAAGTGCTATCAGACACTTGGGCCAGCCTCCTAGACAGCTCTCCCCTGTCTGGGTTACCAGGACAGAAGCAGTGTGATTTCATTTCACCGATTGTATTTCTCTTTGTGTTCTTTAAAATCAGTACCTGACGGTTCCCTCCTTCAGTCTGCACTCTGCACTCTCCCCACTGACATACCAGAAACCATATTTTGGATTTTAATTTTGAACTAAGCCAGCGGTTCTCAAACTTTAGCAATGCAAGGACTCTCATTTTGATTTATAATTTTTCAGGGATCCCCAAGTTCCCCTGCTCAGCCCTTGCCCTGCCCTCTTCCCCAAGGTCATGCCCCTGCCCCGCCCCTTCTCCAAGACCCCGCCCCCGCTCACTCCCCCCCCCCCATCGCTCGCTCTCATAGAATCATAAAAAGAAAAGGAATACTTGTGGCACCTTAGAGACTAACCCATTTATTTGAGCATAAGCTTTCGTGAGCTACAGCTCACTTCATCAGATGCATCACAGAATATCAGGGTTGGAAGGGACCTCAGGAGGTCATCTAGTCCAACCCCCTGCTCTAAAGCAGGACCCATCCCCAATTAAATCATCCCAGCCAGGGCTTTGTCAAGCCTGACCTTAAAAACTTCTAAGGAAGGAGATTCCACCACCTCCCTAGGTAACGCATTCCAGTGTTTCACCACCCTCCTAGTGAAAAAGTTTTTCCTAATATCCAACCTAAACCTCCCCCACTGCAACTTGAGACCATTACTCCTTGTTCTGTCATCCGCTACCACTGAGAATAGTCTAGATCCATCCTCTTTGGAACCATCTTTCAGGTAGTTGAAAGCAGCTATCAAATCTCCCCTCGTTCTTCTCTTCCGCAGACTAAACAATCCCAGTTCCCTCAGCCTCTCCTCATAACTCATGTGTTCCAGTCCCCTAATCATTTTTGTTGCCCTCTGCTGGATTCTTTCCAATTTTTCCACATCCTTCTTGTAGTGTGGGGCCCAAAACTGGACACAGTATTCCAGATGAGGCCTCACCAGTATCGAATAGAGGGGAACGATCACGTCCCTTGATCTGCTGGCAATGCCCCTACTTATACAGCCCAAAATGCCATTGGCCTTCTTGGCTACAAGGGCACACTGTTGACTCATATCCAGTTTCTCGTCCACTGTAACCCCTAGGTCCATTTCTGCAGAACTGCTCCCGAGGCATTCGGTCCCTAGTCTGTAGCGGTGCATGGGATTCTTCCGTCCTAAGTGCAGGACTCTGCACTTGTCCTTGTTGAACCTCATCAGATTTCTTTTGGCCCAATCCTCCAATTTGTCTAGGTCCCTCTGTATCCTATCCCTACCCTCCAGCGTATCTACCTCTCCTCCCAGTTTAGTGTCGTCTGCAAACTTGCTGAGGGTGCAATCCACACCATCCTCCAGATTATTAATGAAGATATTGAACAAAACCGGCCCCAGGACTGACCCTTGGGGCACTCCGATTGATACTGGTGCCAACTAGACATGGATCTATTGATCACTACCTGTTGAGCCCGACAATCTAGCCAATTTTCTACCCACCTTATAGTGCATTCATCCAGCCCATACTTCCTTAACTTGCTGACAAGAATACTGTGGGAGACAGTGTCAAAAGCTTTGCTAAAGTCAAGGAACACCACGTCCACTGCTTTCCCTTCATCCACAGAACCAGTTATCTCGTCATAGAAGGCAATTAGATTAGTCAGGCATGACTTGCCCTTGGTGAATCCATGCTGACTGTTCCTGATCACTTTCCTCTCGTGTAAGTGCTTCAGAATTGATTCCTTGAGGACCTGCTCCATGATTTTTCCGGGGACTGGGTGAGGCTGACTGGCCTGTAGTTCCCAGGGTCCTCCTTCTTCCCTTTTTTAAAGATGGGCACTACATTAGCCTTTTTCCAGTCATCCGGGACTTCCCCCAATCGCCATGAATTTTCAAAGATAATGGACAATGGCTCTGCAATCACATCCGCCAACTCCTTTAGCACTCTCGGATGCAACGCATCTGGCTCCATGGACCTGTGCACGTCCAGCTTTTCTAAATAGTCCCGAACCACTTCTTTCTCCACAGAGGGCTGGTCACCTCCTCCCCATGCTGTGCTGCCCAGTGCAGCAGTCTGGGGGCTGACCTTGTTCGTGAAGACAGAGGCAAAAAAAGCATTGAGTACATTAGCTTTTTCCACATCCTCTGTCACTAGGTTGCCTCTCCTCCATCTTCACTCACTTTCACCAGGCTCGGGCAGGAGACTGGGGTGCAGGAGGGGGTGCAGGCTCCAGCCAGGCAGCGCTTACGTCTGGCGACTCCCAAAAGTGACCGACATCCCTCTGGCTGGGGCTCCTAGGCGAGGGGGAGTTCCCGGCCAATGTTGGCGCTCAGGGCACGGGGCACAGGCAGCACACAGAGACCCCCCCCCCAGGGGCTGCAAGGACATGCCGGACGCTTTCAGGAGAAACACAGAGCCAGGGCAGGTAGGAAGCCTGCCTTAGCCCCACTGCGCCACCGGCCTTTTAGCGGAGGCACTGGGAAGGAGGGGGAGGAGTTGCGGGACGGAGGAGGAGGAGTTAATCAGTAGGGCCTGTGAACCCCCTGGGGTACTTTCGGGGAGCCCACTTTGAGAAACGCTGAACTAAGCCATGCTATATATTTATGATTATGTGAATGTTTCTCCTTCATCAGTCCAAGTACATTGGCCTAAGAGCACTTCGAACTTCAAGCAATTGCCTTTGATGTTTCAAACTAGCCCCTTTCAAACCAAACTCTACCAACGACATGTACATAAGAGCGATTGAAAGTCCAAGTGCAACTTTACTCCTCGGAGAATTACTGGAAGTGTCATAAATGCGCTAAAGATACTAAAGAATTGGTAATTGGTGATGAGTAACGGCAATATGAAATCCTGGTGTTTGCATAGTTCCTTGATATCACTGCATGGCCCCCACGCTGGCCTACAGTAACTGCTTACAGGCTTCATGTGTCGTTTATGCTGAGTACCTGCCTAGAACATTTGTTGTACCTGCACTGGATCAATGAACTGTGGGTTATACACTGATGTGGTGCTGGGTGAATTAATACACTCTTGGTTGGTTAAGAAAAACTAACTGTCCTGATCTGAGAAATATGGTCCCCAAGGTAAGATCTGAAAAGAACCCAGCCTTAAAATCAGTAGGCTAGCAATCCCTGGACTCAATAAAAGGGATTCTTCAAATTAAATTCCATCCCAATATTGGTTATAGCACTTATCAAATTGGCAAATTTAGCTTGTTAGATTCCAGCTTTAAAATCTAAACTGGCATTTCATCAAACTCTCTCTCTCTCTCTCTCACACACACACACACACACACACACACACACGTCAAACTCTCTCTCTCTCACACACACACTCTCTCTCTCTCTCTCACACACACACACACCCCAAACTCTCTCTCTCACACACACACACCAAACTCTCTCTCTCTCTCTCACACACACACACACACTCTCTCTCTCTCTCTCTCACACACACACACACACACACACACCAAACTCTCTCTCTCTCTCTCTCTAGTGAAACAGGAAATCCTCACTTTCCCGTAGTCACTCAGTTTCACGTGACTGGCTGGAGGGCCATGCATGTGCTACGTGCAGTTCCTCTGATGTGTCACCAACAAACCCTTCCCCTCACACCCTGTTGCACTCATCAGTGTCAATATACTTCCCTATCCAAGAAGGGGCCCAAAGCAAAGCACTGAACCCAAACCATCCCACTCAGATGGGGAAGCTCAGATCTGAAATTCATGGCGTGGGTTTATTTGTACACGCTGAGGCACCCTGAATCTGACCCCTTCCAAACTTTAGGGAAGTTTACTCACTTTGTTACACTCCAATTTTGTCGGGGGGAGGGTTGTAAAATTACTCAGCTTTGCCCATTTGGCCTGGAATAAGCAGAAACAACATCCTGAAGCCAATGGATTGGGCCCGCTTCTCACCAGAGCTGTATTTGGCTCAACAAGTCAGTTCCCACCGCAGTCCCATTCTCCGCAGACAGGAGGGCAGACGCTGACCCAATCCTGTCAGGTGCTGAGAGCCCTCAGTCCCCTTGAAGTCAGTGAGACCTGAGGGTGCTCAGCCGGTGGATCAGAACCCCTTGGTCTCTTTCCAGAAGCCATTGTGTGTGTATTCAAGTGGCTCAGATGCACCATGCTCTCGGAGTTGCTATGGCAACTTAGCCCCGAATAAGAGGAAACAGCGGTACAGAAACCTCCATGTCCATTCCATCGCCCTCCTCCTGGGCTCTGAGAAGACGTTACCAGCACAGCCAGAGTTTCAATGCCCCGGTGCACCTCGTGGGGTGGTTGTGAATCTGCCCGTCCCCACCCCGAGGGCTGGCTGTGGGGGAATCACACGATACCTGCAGCAGGAAAATTAGCTCAGGTTCCTGTGGATCACTCAGGATGTCAGGGCGCTGGGCTGGGGCTGGGCCGTTCTGAACGTAAAGTGGGGTTTCAGCTGTTTAATCTCCCACACCCCCCCATTCCATTAGCCCCACTGTTCTGAGGAGCTTCCCTTCTTTTCAGGGGCTCCTGCTGATTTCTAAGGGTCGGATTTTCAAAGGCGCTGAGTCCTCCCAACTGCAGTGGAAGTCAATGAGAGCTAAGGCGCTCAGCACTTCTGCAGATCAGGCCCCTCGAGTCATGTGGCTTTGTGGGGCTGACCTGCGGAAGCAGGGTGGCTAGAAGCTCTCTCCTCGTCCGACACGCCCCATCATCTCCGGGCGGCTTGGGCAGGAAGGCAGCCCTGTCTCGGGGAAGGATTGGCGGTGGCCATTCACCATTGGTCTCCCTGATATTATTTCCTGGGGCTTGGAGGAGTCAGGCAAATCCCTTGTAACTGGAAATCCCGATCATTTTTACACAGCCAGTGCATTAGTTTCACTGGGGCCATGAACGTAGCCAGAGCTGCATAAAGGCCCCCGACAGCCCCAGTTCCCAACCACAGCCGTGCTCGGCTATACTGGTTTGTGACCAATACTCTACTCCCATACCTCCTCTGTACCAGCCCCCACTGCGGCCCACCTCCCATTCAACCAGGTAGGCCGGAGTCAGCAAGGGGCCTGGGTGCCGCGTGCGAGGCCCAGAGCAAACACTGGAGTGGGCCAGACTCCAGGGCAGATCAGAGCGCAGGGAACTGAACAGCAGCGTGGGGAAGTCTCAGGGCCAAACGCTGCTCCCCGGTACAGCAGGGTGACCCCAGTGGGGTTACCTCTGATTTGCACTGGTATGAGCTGCAGGATCCCAGCCTCCAGCTAGGAAAGCGGCATCAGAAAAACAAGGGAACCTGTCACTCCATGGTTCACTCACTGCGCCCCCAGCCCCATTATGTAGAGACCTTCCTCCCTGCCCCCCCACCCCCCTGCCTTTTCTTCCGGTACTTACCCCCCCACACACACACACACTTTTTCTCCTCCAACACCCCCTCAATGTCCCTGGTGTACTGCTCCCCCCGCCCAACAGAGAGACCCCCCCCGCAAGCCAGGCAGGCCAGGGAGTGTGTCACACGCCCCGCCCCAACGCAGCCCAGCCCAGCCCCGACTGGCAAGCGCCGCGCAACACACGTGCGCGACCCCACGCCCGCTACGAGCCCGCAACATTCCAGTCCTCTGCGTTCCGCCCTTTCTGATTGGTCCGGGCGAAGGCCTCCCCTTGGCTGATTGGCTCCCGCTCCTTGCAGTGTAGCCACCAAGTCCCCGCCCCCCCTCCCCCGCCTTTTATATCAGCTGAGCCCTCGGGCCACGGGGACGCGATCGGATCCGAGGCGGAGTCTTGGCGTGAGTGGGGTCCCCGCGGGTCCTGGAGCTGGGGGGCAGCCGCTGGGCCGTGCTGGGGGCTTGGCAGCAAACTTGCAGGGGCGGCTCCCGCTGGGGCGGGGCGGATCTGGCCGCGCTGCCCCTAAGCCAGGGCTGAGGGCGAGCTGGGGCTTCCCCCTGGGGTCTGAGCTAGATGATGTGGGGGGATCTTCCCCCCCCCCCCCCGGCCCAGCAGTGGGGCGGCTTTCCGTAGGGGGCCTGGCTCTGGCTAGCTGGAGTGAGGAGCGCTCCGTGTCCGGGAGGGCGTGTGCAGAGACCGCCCGCATGGCTTGGCGCTGCCCTTCGGGGAACAGCTTCTCTTTCGCGGGGAGGCAGGGCGGGGGGGCAATCCCTGTGAAATGCAGCTGGCCTGTTTAAATGGGGGTCCGGGGCTGTTGCACCCGTGTGTTGCTGGGCTCTGAGAAGCCCCCGTCTCAAACCAAGGGACTTGTGGACTTCAAGCCCCGTTGCCCTGCAGAGTCGCCCAACGCTTCAGCGCCCTTCCGCGGGCATCGGCTAATGCCACCGCTGGGCTGTGGGCCTGGGGAGGAGGTTGCTGGGTGAAGGCTGGAGTGTCTGTCTGCTCTCGCTCCCTTGCTGGCAAATGCCTCAATTCAGCTACGTTTTCCCCTTCCTTAACAAGAGGGGGCTAGAAACCAGGCCCCTTTCAGCAAGCGGCTTCCCCCTCCTAGGCCACTGACTCTTCAGGATCAAGAGTAACTTTCTTCTCCCCTCTGTGGAGTGGCTTCAGTGTAGGTGGGGAGATAACGAACCCCTTTCACTTGGTTTCCTGGGGACACGCGCATTGTTGCAAACGTGGCCAGGGAGTGAGCTGCTCCAAACCACCTCTCTGCTGAATCGTTTTAAAAAAAAAAAATAAGAAGCTGGTGGGGCTTTGCTGCCATCCCAACCCCTCTGCTGAAAAGTCCTTTAACTTTCGGCTTAAACTGGCTGAGCCTGCTTGGAATTCTTAGAGAGACAGAACCAAAATCTAGTTAGCTTTTTTAAGTAGCTGGGGGGGCTGTGCCTGCTTCTGAGGCACCCCCCACACCCTGTCCAGTTTTATGGTGTTGCACTTTCCTACTCTTAAATGTTTCTATCCCCCAGGTTGGAGGGCCCCACCCAAACAGAAGGGGAAACTGATAGACCCCAAGGGAGACTCTGGTGAAACTGACTAGACCTAAAGCACTGTCAAAGTCACAAAATAAACTGAAACTGGGAGCCAGCTTGTTTCCTCCAACAGTGCCATTCCGACTAGACCTGGGGTTCTCAAACTGGGGGTCATGACCCCTCGGGGGGGGTCACAAGGTGATTCTGTGGGGGGGCTGTGAGCGGTCAGCCTCCACCAATTGAGAAGTGCGGGGGTCGCACTCGTAAGTTTCTACTGGTGATCCCTGTCCCACCCTTAAAGTTTGAGAACCACTGGATTAGACTCTCAAAAGAGCTGATGGGTTCTAGAAACTTCCAGATACAGTAACATTCAAGTGTAACAATAGGTGAATGGATGGGTGAATGAATCTTTTACATGAACAGAGTCCCTTTAACAAGTCTGAGTATCCATGGTATTGTGCCCTGTGCCAGATAGTAGTGGGTCACTGAGACAGTAAGTAGCCATGTGACTTGTAGGAAGAGGAAAGTATGAAGCCAATATGACCAGCTTCACAGGGTGCAAATTGATCAGCTTGGAGGAAAAGGGTTGGACTTCTGAAGCCAGCAACAGCTAGGGGCATTTCAGAAACCGCTCTGAGTTCTAGTTGCCCCTGGGGGGGGCAGCACATCCGAGTGGGGCAGGTTTGGTTGAGACCACCAATAAATCAAAGCACCGCCTCTTCCTGTTCATGGATGGGGTTGGAAACCTCAAACCGAGGTCCGTGCTATGCAGGACTAAATGATAGGAAGAAATGGAGGCCATAATGCTCTGTCCTAAACTGAATTTAATGCGGGGGGGCAGGGGGCGGGCAGGTTGAAGCCTTGTCACAACCTAACCACTTCCGAGGGGTGGGGAAGGCTTGTCATGCAAGCACAATGGATTGTGATGTTTCATTGCTGAGCAGCTGTCATGAGCTGCTAACAAAAATGGCTGAGACCTTGGTTGAATGGTGTGAAAATGTCTCATGCTGGGAAGGGGGATTTGCTTAGGCTCAGGAAGTATCTTAGGGCCACCAGAGGAGTAAGGACAAATCCTGCTTCCATTTATATTTTTCAGGTAGTCTTTATTTAAGATGTAGCCTGGTGTTAGCTCAGCTGTGGCTCAAATGCAGTCACTTGCCTGCTTAAACAAGCAGACTCCTGAGTGGCTCCATAAGGAGAGCAGTGTTGAAGAAGAACAACCTTCTCCAGGCAACAGGGCTGCTTGCTTTGGGTCTCGGATGGGAGCCCATCACAGAAGTATCTGAGGGCCTTCTAGAGAAGGGCTGCAGATGCGCCATGAGCCACTTGCTTTGGTGCAAACTAATGAAACCAAAGCCAGAACTTGAAATATCAAAAGGGGGAATAACTCTTCCCAGCTCATGGATCTCCCCCCTCCATAGTTCTGGTGTTCAAATCAGGAACTGTTGCCCCATCAGTGAGGTAGCAATGGAGTACATCTCTTCCAAATGAGCTATAGAATCATAGAAGATCAGGGTTGGAAGGGACCTCAGGAGGTCATCTAGTCCAACCCCCTGCTCAAAGCAGGACCAATCCCCAACTAAATCATCCTAGCCAGGGCTTTGTCAAGCCGGGCCTTAAAAACCTCTAAGGATGGAGATTCCACCACCTCCCTAGGGAACCCATTCCAGTGCTTCACCACCCTCCTTGTGAAATAGTTTTTCCTAATATCCAACCTAGACCTCCCCCACTGCAACTTGAGACCATTGCTCCTTGTTCTGGCAGCTGCCAACACTGAGAACAGCTGAGCTCTATCCTCTTTGGAACACCCTTCAGGTAGCTGAAGGCTGCTATCAAATCCCCCCTCGCTCTTCTCTTCTGCAGACTAAACAAGCCCAGTTCCCTCAGCCTCTCCTCCTAAGTTGTATGTGGTTCTCCTGTCAGGGCTTGTTGCTCCCGTAGATGTTTTTATCAAGCTTGTCACATGGGTCACTTGACATGCTGCTCCCAAGCCATGTTTGTTCTAACCTTGCTGATGATCCTATTAGGATCTGGGAAGTGGGTGGGCGAAGCCCATCCACTGCTAAAGGATCCCCCCCAGCCAAAGAGGGGGATCCACAGGACCTGGACACCAAATAAATCTGGGGGACAACTAATGAAATAACAGGGACAGGAGCGTGGTCAGAGTCCAACGAAGTGAACCGGATGGGGACACCGAGCAGAGAACCCTGGACAGCGCCCACTGCTCCTCGAAGGTGTCAAGGGAGTCAGTGGACGCCGCTCAGAGGAACTCTGCCCAGATACATGAATGGATGGAGGATTGGAAATAGGCCCCACAGTTACAGGAAACTCCATCGGCCAACCTCCTCACTCTGGTTTTATAGATGGCCAAGAGGAGGTTGACCAGGAGGTCCTGTGACTTTGTGGGGCCACAGATAGGGAGTGCATAAAAGAAGGTGAGGGGGAAAAGTGCATCCGAGCCAGAACCAACTGCCCAGCTGTAGCTGGGTTTTAACTCTGATATTCAGCTGTGGAGATGGGTCTGACTAGGTAGCAGGTCTCCTGTTCCCTTAGTGCTGTAACGTGCAAATGAAACGCCTGCAAGTCCTCCCCTCCTTGTAGCAGCTTCTCGGGAAGCCTGGGCAACCAATGCAAATGTTGCTGTGCAACTGGCCGAGAGGACCGGCTAAAGCCACTGCATCGGGTGGGAGGGGGCAGTGCTGAGCCATGCTGCTGAGCATGGTCACTATTAAGTTATGCGCCGGGACCGCAGAAGACAAAGGTTCACAGAGGTGGTGGTTTGTTTGATGTAGCAGTTACAGTTCTATGTAGCAACAATGTTTTCATCCTCCAGTTGCCTTATCATGTCTTCTGAGGAAAATGCTGCAACCCACACTTCCCCTCAGAGCGAGGAGCCCGAGCAGCACCAGCGGGTAGGTATGCCCCGATGATCGCAGGGAGCAGCCCTTGGTACTCTTGGTATATCCCTGGCATGCTCAGCCCCACCTCTTGCTAACCAGGCTAGCAATGGTATTGGTCCCCTTCCTGGGGGGGTGGGGGGAGGATCAAGACTGAATCCCCTGTATCCATGCAACAGGGTGGAGGAGTGCAGGGGAGAACCAGAACTGACTAACGAAGGCACCTGGCTGTCCTCTAGCCATCAAGCAACCTAGAGACCCTTGCTTGGGTGGCAAGATCAGATCTGATGCTACTGTACTTGCTAATATAATCTGGGTTAATTTGGAGTCAGCGTGGGGATGTGTCCTGCACCTAGTCTCTTCAGTCAAGACCTCTAAGCGAAACCTAACCTCAGCTGCTTTACTCCAGGCCTTTGCTCAGGAGACCTGTGATCTTCAGGTGTCCTCAGCACGCACGGAAGTCAATGGGAGGTCCAGGAGCTTGGCAGTCTTGGAAAATCAGGCCATGTTCTAGGGCTGAAGATGTCACTGGTGCCTAGAGCATAGAAGTGCTTAAAGGGCTACTCCCACTCATGGTGCTGCTAGGAGATCTAGCCCCCCTTAGTCCTAAGAACTTGGCATCAGGTGCCAGCCCCTCCAACTGGCTGTTGCTACCTTTTTTCCTTTTGTCCTCTACTAGAATGTCGTGAGCAGGGTGGCCAACCTACCCTTGGTCAGCTCCACCTATGACATGGTTTCCACGGCCTACACCTCCACCAAAGAGAATCACCCATACATCAAATCCGTCTGCGACGTGGCGGAGAAAGGCGTGAAGACCATCACCGCCGTGGCTGTCGGCAGCGCCCAGCCAATCCTGGCCAAACTGGAGCCACAGAGTGCGTGTGATGGCAGCATGGGGATGGGTCAGGCTGTGGGACCTGGGGAAGCTGGAGTAGCTAGTGAACTGCAGCTGGGTGGGAGACTCCTGCTGGTTCATGGGTCTGGTAGCTGAGGGAGTGTTGGGACGCCTAACTTTTCAGCTGAAACGTCACACCTGTTGTAGAAGGGGCTTATCCACCCTGAACTCCTCTCAGAAGGTCTATTGCAGTCCTGCCAAGCAGGTGAGGTGCCCAGCCTAGCTGTCTCTGTAGCAAGGAGGCCCCTTAACAAAGAAGCCTTAGATGGTCTGCCACAGAGTTCCAGACATGGTGTACAGCGTGACCCATGTGACAGCTATGCATCTTGACCCCAGAGATCTGAAGCACTTCATTACAAGTCACTAGGCTGTAGCTGCCTGTCTAACAGTGGAACACATGGATGGTGCTGCTGTTGAGTCAAATACCCTGGCATACAGCCAGTGCACTTTGTCAAGGGTAACCTGAATTTAAAAACGGCCTTGTTGCAGCCTCCCTTACTAATTACAAGGGTGTGGGGCGGAGGTGGCCCAGAACCGACTGGCCAGTGTGGCAACCAGAAACTAGCAAAGCTTTTCAGTGGTTCCTGAAGTCAAGCTGAGCTGGCCAGGTGCAGGGTTTCTTATCGAATGACCTTGCAAAGATCCAAGGCTCTGGAAGGAGTAAAAGCATCCCAAAGCCAGAGCACATACCCTCCCCCTGCACCATGTTCATAGTATTAAAATCTCTGACCTTGAGTAGCTCTGGCAGCCTGCACATGTGGCCTTTAGCCCAGATCTTGCAAAGAGAGCTGGTATTGATGCTAGCTCTGAGCAATCTTGGGGTGGTGGGGGAGGGAATTGGTTTCACCTTGGAAGATCAGGCCAAGGAAGGCTTTGTTCCCCCAGGGGAGGGAGTTGCTGGAGCCCCTTAGAGGAGATGGAACAGGACCCTGGGAGTCGCTCCTAGGTTTGTTCGTTCTGAGCTTGGCCTGACATGCTGTGTATCAGAGCATGTCGTTCAACTCTTGCCTAACTCCCTGGGGCATTGTTTGGCTAGCTGGGGGAAGGCTTGACTTCCTTCAGTGGAAGCCTAAGTAACTGAAAGGGGGCCATTGATAACCCACACTCACTTGCTGGGGGTGGGGGTGTCCCTATTCCTCTTCTAGCTACAGAGGAGAGGGCTGGACTTACTGGCTATCGCTTAAATGCTGCTCTGGCAGAGTTACTGTGAAACGTTCCCCCTGGCTGGGTTTCTGCTTTCAAACTGTATCCAATGTAACTAATCCAGTGTGCCGGGACTCCAGCCAACTCAAGAGACTGAGCTGTGCTGAGCAGCCTTTAGCAAACTAACTCCTCAGTTAAATACACAAAGATATTAAGACTGGGACTCTTCAGCTTGGAAAAGAAATGACTACAGGGGGGATATGATAGAGGTCTATACAATCATGACTGGTGTGGAAAAAGTAAATAAGTGTTGTTTACTCCATCTCATAATACAAGAACTAGGGGTTACCAAATGACATTAATAGGCAGCATGTTTAAAACAAACAAAAGGAACTGTTTTTTCACACAATGCAGTCAACCTGTGGAACTCCTTGCCAGGGGATGTTGTGAAGGCCAAGACTATAACAGGGTTCAAAAAAGAACTAGATAAGTTCATGGAGGATAGGTCCATCAGTGGCTATTGGCTAGAGATGGTGTCCCTAGCTGGGAATGGGCAACAAGGGATGGATCACTTGATTCCCTGCTCTGTTCCTTCCCTCGGGGCACCTGGCATTGGCTACTGTCAGAAGACCGGATACTGGGCTAGATGGCCCTTTGGTCTGACCCAGTATGGCCATTCTTATGTTCCAAGGCAGCAATTGTTACTTGGTGATACCATACCAGAGACGGGGGCTCATGGTGCTGATCAGGTCAGCCATAGGCTGGTCCCTCATGTACCAGCTACAACAGCAGCTGCTAATTATCCATGCAGCACACCAGTGTCCAATCCCTACCAGCTTGCTGCTGCTAAGCTCAGCAAAGGGGCTCCATCCCTGCTCTCTTAGGAGCTGCTGCAGACATCCTGACCTCAATAGGTCAGCTGTGGCTGAGGCCATCTCGGTGTGAAGATGGTGGTGTCCCTAGTCCCACATACTGAATTCTTCTTGGGGAGAGGACAAAGGAATACTGGTGAGCAAGGGCCATGACAGCGGTATTGGCTTCCTACTAGAGGCTGATTGCATCTCTTGGCTTTTGGGGTAACTGTCAGGCTTTGGGCCTCCTGAGAAATGCAGGGTCCTAATGGCTGCCTCAAGAGTGCAGCTGGCAAGATGTCACCCCTCTACAGAGCTACAGCTGACCCAGCTCTGATCTCGGGGCCTGTTCCGAGTGGCCATGCTCTAGAACTCTTCCCAAACTTGGACTCGCCAGGGCTTTCCTTGGCAGCCCTGCGGCCTCCCCTCCTCAAACATGGCACTGCTCGGTGGTGCCCCTTGAAACCTGACTCCTTCAGCAACCTACTCTGCTGCCCCAGGTAGCTGAGGGGATAAGGTAACCAAACTCTCTCTGTCTAGTTGCGACAGTGAATGAGTACGCATGCAAGGGGCTGGATAAACTGGAGGAGAAGCTGCCAATTCTTCAACAGCCAACTGAAAAGGTGAGCACCTCTGCTTGGAGAACTAGGGATGTGAAATAAGGGGTCTTCACTCCCTGGACAGACCAGTCCAGAGCTATGGCAGCTGGGGGATAAGGGGTGGGGGCCAGCCAGGAAAAGGCTTGACTTCGCCTCCCTGGCTCTAGGAGCTTCTTTGGGCAGGCCAGCTGGCTGGGCAGTGAGCTAGCTAATAACCAGCAAAACTCATCCCAGGTGGAGATGAAAGCCTAGTGACTGATACCTCTAGGCTCCAGGCTCTTATCTGGGTGAATGGTGCCTGTTGATTTGGAGAAGGCAAAGTAGTCCTAAGATTAACCAGTGCTGCCTTGCCTCTGCTGGCTTAATACTAACCTGTGCCACTGAACACTTCACTCAATCCTAGGTTGTGGCTGACACCAAGGAGCTGGTGTCTTCTACCGTGACTGGTGCTAGAGATGCCATCTCCAGCACTGTCAGTGGAGCAAAGGGTGCGGTGACAGGGGTGGTGGACATAGCCAAAGGAGCTGTCCAGGATAGCATGGAGATGACCAGATCAGTGGTGACCAGCAGCGTGAACACAGTCATGGGGTCCAGAGTGGGCCAGATGGTGGTGACCGGAGTGGATGCCATGTTGGGGAAATCAGAAGAGCTGGTGGATCATTACCTCCCCATGACTGATCAAGAACTAGGTCAGTGTATGTTGAATAGAGCTGGCTGAAACCATTAGGCTGGAAGTTTTGACCTAAAACACAGTTTTGGTCAACCCAAAACTAGCTCTGAATGTAACCGGAGTAATTTTGGCCAGTCACAGAATGGCTGGAGGGTGTTTGTGGTGCTGCCCCCTGAGCCTGGTGATAGGGCCCTCGTTTGGTATGTGGGAATCCCAAGTTCAAATCCCCACTCAAACTTTCTTGAGTCACCAAAAAATTTCAGGTTTGGTTTGGCACAGACATGTCAATTGTTCAGAACTGCCAGGAACCCAGCAAAAATCCATAACTTACCCCCCTCTAATGATCAGAAACACAACCCCAGCTGACTCTGTACTCTGAGGATTACCACATGTATTCCTCCTCTAGGAGTAGGTGGCCTTAAGTCTTACGCTGGCTCTGGCTCTGCAGCAGAGAGATGCCAAGAAGGTGCCATAAGCTAAGGTGGCTGTTGGCCTTGTGCTGGTCTAGGTGGGGCCCATTTTGGCAGTCTCCCCTTCAACACCACCACTCTTCCTGTGACCTTGGGGGAGAGGGCTAGTAAAGGGGCCTGCCTCTTGTGCAGGCCACTAGCCTAGCATGACTTGATAGGAACAAGGCCATTATCCACACTGTAACCAAAGCTAAGGTCTGACTCTCTGCCCCTGGCATGGGATGATGGACATGTGCACAGTGGATTTAAAAAAAATCAAATGATTTCTTTGATAAAAAGGTTTTTCCTCAAAAAGCAATCTAAAGATACATTATAGCTCAAATATCTCCTCATGGAATAGGGATTTATTAATTCTGTAGATGAGACAATATAGTCATGTAATGTTTAAGACTCATTTTGTAAATGAGTTCCAATAGTTCATGGATTAGGGACCCAATCTTATAGGGTTCGAAGAGCTTCCGTAGAGATTATTTCGGTTAATCTTTCTATCCCCCCAGTGGGGCTCAGCATCTCTAATGGTATCTTCTAGACTTAATTTTGCAGTTCTCAAAACTGTGGATTTGTGTCTCCAGAGATAACATACTTGTTAACAGCAAAAATGTTTTTAAATGGAGGTGAGAAATAACAGACCTCAACCCTATTGTCCCTCTGCAAATTTGTATACAGTCAATCCCTTACCTCTCTAAAAGTGCAAAGATTCAAAAAGTTCAATGAATAGACTGTCTGGGTTGGGACTTAATAATTCTGATGCCTGGCTTGGAAGAAAATCCAGTTCCTTGCCACAGAGCTGGATGGGCTTTGAAGCATGAACCAGAGGAATGGAGAACACTTGTATCCAAGTCAGAAAACTGGAGACCCATGCTGAGTAAGATGGGGTTGCTTCAAGTGGAATTGCACTGGAAGGCTGTGAAACACAGGCTTGCTCTTAATAGCAGCAGTCTAAATTCAGCTGAGAAGCAGGTCCAAGGGCAGTAGCAAATGCATGGTCCAATTGCTAAAGCTATTAAGTGTTGTGCCCATTGGCACTAACTGTGCCCAACAGGAGCCAGAGCTGTGCCCAGCTTGGACCTGAGTGGCAGAACTGCTGTCAAGGAGCCATTTGGAGAGACCTTACTGTGTCACTCCAGGCTTGAGCACACCTGTGCTCCCAGGGAAACAAAGGGAGCCTGGGGTTGGCAGGAGGTAGGGATTGTAAAGGATGCTGGGTCTGTGAAAAGAGCCCTTCTCATTCCACTGCGTTTAGGCCACAAGCTAGTGTGGCCGGTAGGTAACGTCGGCTCAGTGGGATAGAGCCCAGCTGCAGGCCTGGAAGCCTCTACTCCAGCACTCTCCTCACCATGCAGGAGGGAATCAGGCATAGCTGAATACCCATCTTCAAGGTGACTTGCAAAGGGGGGGGAGAGTAGGTGTGTGCTACTTGCAAACCATCTGCAAGAGCAGCACCATCCGCTTCAACTCTGACCTTCTGTCACCCAGGCCAAGGGTGGCTTCTGTGTCCCAGCCACTAGATCTGAGCCTGCAACAACTCTTGGCCTCCCAGACCTCTGGCTCTTGCAGCTTGGGCAGTAGAGGCTTGGCTTCTAGATCCAGGGGTCCCAGGTCCTGTCCCTCTGCCCTGCGACTCACCTGGGGTGTCGCATGACCCAAAGAACTGAGTGTTGGGTCCTGTCTGCCTTTGCTGGAGGTCTTGGGTGTGGCCTGAACTTTCTTAGCCTCGAACTGGAAGCATTGATTCTCGCTGTTTGGGAAGAGATCGGTTAACCTGCCATGCCCAAGGACTAGGGGATACCGTCAGTGAACACAGCTCACCCACACGCTGCTGGCGATGATCTCTCTCCTACCTAACAGGTGGAGATCAGAATGGTCCATGTGGAAACAGCCCCTCTTGGCTGCTTTCAGGTGTCAGTACCACAGAAGTTCTTGATCCCTGTGGCCAACAGATCAGTATTGGTCCAGAGCTTCCTGGTGGCGGTGCAGAGCTGGACTGTCAGCTGCTCGGTAGCACTGAAGAGCTGAAAGGGAGAGCACTTGCAGTAGCTGCCCAGAGGGATGGGGGTGGGAGGGTGGCCTCCGACTCCTTTCTACCACTGACAGTCAAATCCACTGCAACACTGACCCAGGGTCAGTGACTGGGTCCCCTGCAAGTCCCATTTAACTGTCGGAGCTGGAGAGAATGCTGGCCCAAGTCCAGTCAATGACTGGAGGAGCAGCCCCCCTCGCTGCTGAAGGCAGAGCAGACCCTGGGCAGAAATCTCCTGCTCTGCTGATGGGACTTGCCCAGCAGGCTGGTTTGACCCTTCTTCTGCTCTTGTTCTCTCCAGCTAAGCTGGCCACCTCTGTGGAAGGCTTCGAGATGGCGTCCGTGGAGCAGCAGAGGCAACAGCAGAGTTACTTTGTGCGCCTGGGGTCCCTGTCCACCAAGCTCCGCCACCGGGCCTACCAGCACTCCCTGGGCAAGCTGAGGAATGCCCGGCAGAGCACCCAAGAGGCTCTGTCCCAGCTCCACCAAACCATAGAACTGGTAGGAATGCAGATGTCCCCACACCACCTCCTGGGTCGCTTTGTCCTGGAGCTTAAGGCAAATCCTAATGGGTTCATACTTCTCGAGTCACAATCTGTGGCCTGTGCACAAGTGACCAAGGACTGTCCTTGGCTGGTGTAGGTCAGCACAGTGCCTCTGACTTCAGGAGAGCTAGTGACCTCTTCCAGCTGAGGATCTGGCCTGAGGACTCCTCCTTTGCTGCTGACCACAAATATATTGACTTCGGGTTCTCTGTTCCCTCTGTCCCTTGCCAGATTGAATGTGTCAAGCAGGGTGTGGACCAGAAGCTCCATGGTGGCCAGGAGAAACTGCACCAGATGTGGCTGGAGTGGAGCAGGAGGCGGTCTGAGGAGAAAGAGGACTCTGATGCTGCGCAGCCAGAGGTATCTTGCCATGGAGGGAGGCAGGGGGAGGAGTCCTGGGCTACTGCAAAGTGACCTGTTAGATGGGGTGAGTGTCACATGCCCTGGGAAGCAGCTTCCCTTCATGGGTGTACTTGCTTCCCTAGCAGGTGGAATCTCAGACACTGGTCATGTTCCGTGGCATCACCCAACAGCTGCAAACCACCTGCCTGAACCTAATGTCCAATGTCCAAGGCCTCCCTGCCAGCATCCAGGACAAGGTGCAGGAGCTCCGTCACAATGTCGAAGAACTCCACGCCTCCTTCTCCGCTGCCCATTCCTTCCAAGACCTGTCCAGCACCATCCTGACCCAGAGCCGGGAGAGGGTGGCCAAGGCCCGGCAGTCTATGGATGAGCTGCTGGACTTTGTGGTGCAGAATGCTCCCCTGCCTTGGCTTGTGGGACCTTTTGCTCCCAGCCTGGTAGAGCTACCAGCTATTCCAACTGCTGGAAAGGATGGGGAGGAGGCCCAGCAAGGTGAAGATGAGAAGGTGGACAGCACCGCTCAGCAAGCCTCTGTGCCAAAGGAGAACCCTTAGAAGGCTCCAGATACCTGCAGTTGGCTTCTTGTGAGGGGAAAACTTGTATGCAAGTCACTTGTGTGGACACGGGAGAGCTTGCGTGTGTTGACGAGGGTGGGGGTGGGAATAATGTAAACTCCGTGGTCACCTGCATCTGGGGAAAGGGGCAGGGGTGTTAATGTAGATAAGCTGGCCGTGCCTGGAGCTCCCTGTTGGCCTCACTTCTGAGACTCTGCTCTCTTCCTTGCCAATCTTTTTGTGCCTTTTCTAGCCCCTCTGGGTGGCTCCTTACACAGGTGAACCCAAGCCCATGGCAAAAGCATCGCCTCAAAGCAAAACCAGGGTGTCTCAATGGGAACTCTATCTGGAGGCTGTAAAGTGCCCTTAACTAGGTGCTCGCTCAGAACAGAGTGGGGAGATTTTTCCCTTCTGTAAGTGCCACTAACAATTTGTATCTTGTAGAATGTTTTGTTTTTGTTTTTCCCTCCCCCACAATAAAATTTTATTAGCATTCATCTGATGCTCTGGTGTCTCTGTAAGCACCTTCACTCTTCTTCTCACCATCATTCACGAGAGAGGTGACCACCCACACTCCCTACAATTTGTGTTTAAAATCTCCTGCCTTAACCCCAACTCCTGCCTTTTCAGAGTCCAACCCATGACTCTTTAAATGACCAGGGTTGGTGACGCTGGACTCCTCCTATCCACCAGGAGAGGAGCCTAAGCCACTCCAAGGCAATAGCTCTCCTCCCTCAAATCCTACTTGTAATTGTGCCTCCTAGTGGGAGCTTTGACTCTGCCCAGCATTCCTAGGGGCCATAGCCCAAGACCCCACTCTGCTAGGCTAGATGGTCCCCACCCAAAGAGCAGCAGGTCTCCTTGAGGAATCCCATTACAAGCCTCCGAACTACACCATAGCCACAAAGAGCAGTCCCGCCCTCCTGCCAGGACCTAACCTGCTCTAGCTGTTCTCTTACCTGCCTCCATAGCCTCAATCTTCCTCCCAAAGGCCAGAAACCTCACTTCCTGTTGAGCTTGTCGTGGCCTCCTTAACACTGCCTCTGGCCCAGGTCTCCCCTGAATGCTGCATTCAGGACTTCTATAGCAAACACTGACGTCCAAGTAACTCTGCCCCTCCGTCTCTCCTCAGGCAGAGGTACCATGGCCACCTTCAGCCCCCCAGATTCCATCCTGGCTTTCAAGCCCTCTCCTAGGGCTTGCACAAAGTCCCTTACTGCAGTCTCTGGCCAGTGCTCAACTTGAACTCGCCACGTGGAATTAGGTAGCACAAGCAAACAAAGGATCTGAATGCCTACTCTGTAAAACTGCCAGCAATGGCACCATGATCTTGAGGGCCTGTGGCTCTTCGTTTTTGGGGTCAAACTCAGTAGGGTTTTTAATTTCCTGTTTTGGGGGCAGCTTGGGTAGAAGTACGAGTTGCTGTCTTTACAGGGGGAAATGTCATTTGAAGGCTGTGTGGCATTATCTAGACTGGAGTCACCTGTTCACTCCCAGCTTTCTTCCCCCTCTAGTTACTGTGTAATACTTATTTGTTGCTGTTTTGATACTCCAGCTTCTGTCATCTCTTGTGCTCTGGCTTTCTGCAGTAGCCCCCTAAGGCCAGTTGTGACCAGAGGTGAGGTCACAAGACATTCACAGCCCCAGTTCATGGTCAGATGCTGCGGTCGTCTCCTCTCCCATAGCCACAGTTCCTTGGCAGGGATCATCACAGTGTGCGTATCTGGATCCTAGTAAAGTCAGCAGGCTCTGGCCTGCAGATACTGTAAGGAGTAAGTTGTGTCTTTCCCATCCTCCGACTCAGACTCCCTAATAGCTCATCCAAAGTGACCATTCTCCCTACAATGTGCATGATAATTAAGGTGGGCCATTTCCAGCACAAATCCAGGTTTTCTCACATCCCCCCACCCCCATACACACACAAACTCACTCTCCTGCTGGTAATAGCTCATCCAAACTGACCACTCTCCAAGTTTAAATTCAAGTTAAACCAGAACATTGGGGGGGGGGGGGTAGGAAAAAACAAGAGGAAATAGGCTACCTTGCATAATGACTTAGCCACTCCCAGTCTCTATTTAAGCCTAAATTAATAGTATCCAATTTGCAAATGAATTCCAATTCGGCAGTTTCTCGCTGGAGTCTGGATTTGAAGTTTTTTTGTTTTAAGATAGCGACCTTCATGTCTGTGACGACTTCACTTGTGCCCTGAGCTCTGTGACCTGTGCTGAGCATCCCCCCCGCCTTGCTGGGGGCTGGCTTCTCCAAGCGAGGTGGTTTCAGTGCGCTCCACATTGTTTCCATGGCTCAAAGGCAGAGGGAGCCACATGCTAAGATTATTTTTAATTTTTTTTTTTTTTTTTTGCTTCTCTGTAGCAAGCGTTTCCTGCTTGGCCTTTTAAGCAGCTCTGTAGGGTTTTTTATTCTCACCACTACCCCTTGCCACACAGCTCAGCGTATGCGATACGTGCAAACAACCCTTGAATGCAGGGGAAGCAGGCAGGTCTGTCTCACATTCTCAGAAAACAGGTCTAATGTCAGGGCACACCCCAGCCACCCAAGACTTTGCACATCTCTTTCCACCTTCCCGTTACCCCTCCCATGCTTCCGTCCCCAACTGATACCAGACGTAGGGTGTGTCCTACGGGCATTAGACTTGTACTCTGATACAAACCCTTATCTGTGACCCTCATCTGTCCATGTCAGCACAGCTGGGTGCCACCTTCTATACGTCTGGGACATTCGCTAGCTTTAACCCCCCCGAGAGGCTGGGTAAGGCTTTTGCATTAGAGGGGAGAGGGCGTGACAGGCTCTATCCCACCACTAGTTATGAGGCAGTGGAAGAACTGTGATGGTGGGGTTCCTGGCAGCTATTTCTGGCTCTGGGTTCGAGTTAAGCTGACCCATGCTGGGTTAGTCACTGAAAGGCAGCATGCAGGGGCTAAGATGGGGGTTCATCACATTAGAGACCCAGGTTCTGGGCCTGCAGACACCTTGCTGTCCCGGAGCCATGCTGTACCCCCAGTTTTGGGACAGTCACTTAGAGGAACCCCCTTTAGTGTGCCAGACCCCTAAGGGGTATATGTGCGTCTCTCTCTTTCCCCCTCTATTTGGGCTCTAGCTATCCCTCAGTCTACTCCAGGTGAGAGCCCCCACTCCTTCCAGCAGCCAACGCTTAGCCTCACACCTGCCAGGCCTTTGGTCTTGAGCTGGGGGATGCTGCCCAGCTTCCCTATGGGGAAATCAGTCTCCCTCTGGGGACATCGGCTGCTAGGTGTCACAGTCCTGGTGATGGGATTTGCCGTTGTCTTTTGAGATGGGGGGTCAGCCTCGGCCAATCCTTGTTTAATGACCCATACAAGCTCAGACAGCCAGGCGATGCTCATACCTACATCTCTTAGGGCTTGTCTGCGCTTACATTTTATAGCACTCTAACTTGCTGGCCCCAGGGTGTGAAAAATCACCCCCTCCCCAAGCGCACCAAGTCTGAGCACTTTAAAGCGCTAGTGTAGACTAGCGCTTTTCCAGGCTGCACAGTTTCCCTGCCTCCACTGTGAGTGCCCCAGCAAGCCAGACTGCCTGAGCAGGCCCGTTCCTGTGCTTTGCTTTCTCCTCCAAGGCTACGATGAGGGTGATCACCCCCGGACCAGAGTTACCCCCAGCCCTTGCTAAGCAAGCACATGTATTCTCATGGTGAAACATTCCAGAGAAAACCTATTAAACATCATAAAAGAACCTCCACACATGTTCCCAAAGATTGCCCGGCCCCTCTAGCTTCATCATCACATTAAAATTCAGTAGGCTCAGTTTGGCACACATTTTCTGTTCTGTCTGGAGATGTTAAGAAATGCTGTACAGACAAACCCTCTTGGTGGTCTGTCTGATATTCCTGGAATTGGTAGGCAAGGAGTGGCCAAGCGACAGGGCCCAGAGTGTTGCACATTTCTTGCAAAATAGGGACAAAGAAAAAGGGAGACAAGCCAGCAGAAAACCTTGCTAAGAGGGGCGATTTAAAAATGGGATTGTTCTCTCTGTAATCGTACTCGCCTAGCACTTTTCATCAGTAGATCTCAAAGCGCTTAACAAAGGCGCTCAGTGTCATTATCCCCGTTTTACAGATAGGGAAACCGAGGCACGGAGCAGGGGAGGGACTTGCCTAAGGTCACCCAAGCAGCAGCGTTAGGATGAGAAATCAAGTCCCAGTCTGGTGCTGTAGCCATTGGGCCACACTGCTTCTGTACCACTTCATCAAAGCACCATGAACCACTGATAGTGCTCAGAAGGCATGTATGCTTGTGGTGATTTGGCTTTTTGCCATTTCCATGAGATTTTTTTGCAAACTAAAGGTTTTAAGCACCTGTAAAAACTGAGCTTGTTAACAGAGAATATTCTTCTACCACCCAGACAGCGACTGGTTAACCAACCCAAACACTGTGAGTTACGGCCTCTCCGATCCGGCGGGGACACGCTCGCTATTGAGCAGTGCATCTCAACAGTGGTCGCCCAATGCCGCATGCACCTGGGAGAATGGAGAGGAGCATCCAAGGGCTGTCAGAGCCCTTTCTTCTCCCCAGAGCTAGGGTGGGCCTTAGCACCACAATCAGAATAATGGGCAATAATAGCCCAGTTTACTTCTGCTTCAAACACAGTCCCCACCCAACCGGCGCTTGACGGCATGATCGGCTCGCTGCCTAAAGCAGCCTTCCAGTGACTCAGGATCGAAAGCAGCCACAGAAAGAGGAAGATCCTTTCAGGCCCTCAAAGCAATCCTATCTTCTGAACTAGGGGTCGTTTTAGCCAAGGGGCCAGGGAATTGTTCTGATCAGTCACAGAAACCACTAGAATCACTGTCGATTTGTCATCTGGGAGGAGTGTTCGGAGCTGCACGGGCATCACTTTAGTACTGGGGAACTAACCCTTCTTGAGCTTGCACAGCGTTTATCTCCACCCCGTGCTCGCTGGAGTTCCAAGCTTGGCAGTTCCGTCGCTGCTCCTGGCAAGGGTTGCAGGCTCAGTCAAGGGCTCCAGCTAGAGGCCAGCTAGATTCCTCTTTAGAGTTACAGCCCAGTGAAGGTGCTGCAGCCGGCATCATTTGTACAAGCGGCATCTCCACAACTGCGGCTCCCATTTCGATCGCCTGCCGTCATTTCCACTAGCTAGAATATCCACTTAGACCCGGATCATCCAAGGTACTTTGGCACCTAGCTCCCATTGATTTCAATACCGCGGAACCTGTGAAGCTCTGGACTTCGCTGTCCTAAACTGCCTTATAGTGTTGCTGCGAGCTGTTAAACAGCTGCTGTGTTCCACCTCAGAGATGGCTGCATTGCATTAGTGGTGGAGGTGAATCTTTGTAAAGCAACTTAGGGTGAAAGGTGCTGTAGAAGAGCCAGAAGAGTTCCCAGAAGTCACCTACTACAGGACAGGCCTAACAAAGAAAATAACAGAACGCCACTAGCCGTCACCTTCAGCCCCCAACTAAAACCCCTGCAACGCATTA